CAGAAACTCACAGCTCTCGAGTGTTTTTCAAGAATCCGCTTGGCAAGACCACGCTGTTACGCAACACCTCCAACTAGCCTTGCCAGTGTGTGTGCGCTACACAGTAGAATCACTAGAATCCAAGGCCCCCGCATTGTGTAGCACCACGCCCTGCCGACTGTTCGTCAAGAAGTGCTTCACGTTGAGTGTCAACAAACAAGCTACGCCGGTCCCCTTCGCGTGCGCGATGTGCTCCTGCGCGACATTGTACATCTCCCTGTCGCTCTCCTGGAGCTGCTCCAGCAGCTGTGCCATCTCGCGTTCCTTCTTGCTGCCGCCACCCTTCGGACCTTTGACCAAGGAGCTGCTGGCAGCCTTCACGACGGAGCTGCTGGCAGGCTTGCCCACTGAGGGGCTACGACTGCGAGGCCGAACAACCTGCTTGGCTTTGGCCTTCGCTCGTGCCTTTGCAACCACTTCCAAGCTTCCGAGGCCGATGGAAGGGGCAGCCCTGGGTTCTTGCGCAGGTCCAGCAGTCTCCTTCCCTCCCGCCGCGTCGCTGCTCCCCGAGTCATCCTCCGACCCGGACCCAGACTCGGACGGCTCGCCACTTGCCTTCCTCTTCGGGGGCGGCGGCGGCGGCGCCGACGCCTTTGCTTGGGCAGCCTCCAAAAGCTCCGCATCTTTGATGAGCTTCTGCAGGACGTACGGCTGGCCGCCCAGTTTTGCAGCAGCGGGGCGTTTCTGGAAATGCGCGTTTGCAAAGAAAGAGAAATTGCTCTGACCCTGGCTTTCGTCTAGCTGGTGTTGCGGTTGGAGATAATGCTCCTGGTGGTGCACAGCCAAGTCGTGCCACACCTCCAACTTCTTCATTCCCTGAATGTCCTTGGGGTCCAGGCCTTTCATGCTCAGAGGATAGTATTTCGAATTGTGTTGCCCGTCCAACTTGATGTCTATGTGACTCACCTTGAGTAACGAAAGACGCTTCCCTGTCAAGCGCTCGAGGTCCTTTTCTTTGGCCAAGAGCACCTCCCACGAGACCTT